ATGAAAACTCTGTCACGTCCGTTATGCAATTTTAATTCAAAATAAAACCAACAACGAATTGCTTCTGATTAAATATGAATCGGTTGTAATGGTCCGTAATTTGGCTTTATTTAAGGAATGTGAAAGAAAAAAAATCAGGATTTGCAGAGTTTTGCTTAATTTTACATGTATTGTGAAATCACTTCGTCCGTTATGACCTCCTTTTCATCGATTTTCCTGACAACAGTGTTCCAAGCGTACGTACTGTGCAATCTTTGGCAAGAAAGCAGAGCCAAAATGGCTAAATCGAGATATTTTCCTTCCTGTCCTAACTTGAACAAGTGGGATGACGTGATACAGTGTCCTATTAGATCTAGCATCTTGTAAACCCAGCCTTGTGAGTGTTAGAAGCGAGTTGATGATTTTACAAAATGCTCTATCCTTTGATAATTAATTGAGGGAGAGCTAGCTGACTGTTGTGTTTCCCAGTAAAAACTTTACCCAGGTTTTTGATGAAAATATTTACGGCCTTGAGACCTATTTCGGACAAGAATGCAGCAGCTTATATTCCTTCACCATTTTAGATTTTTTCCGTAAAATATGATGGGCGTAGACCTTCCCACACTTCTTATTCTAATATGACGTCCTGCTGATTTTTAAAAAGGGCCTGAAAAGCAAAATTATTATTGTTGATCACAACCGCCCCAGCCAACAGCGAGTCTCGGAGGCGTAGCAAATCCATGCCGTTCGAATTTGTGCGAACGCTCAAATCTTGAAAGTGTTTAATACGGTACCTGACGGTGATGGTAGAGAAAAAATAAGATTTCTTGGCGATAACTTGATTTTCTATTAAGTTTTTTAATCACTCCGAAATGAAAAAAAAAATGTTAGATGGGGCGTTCCCCTTTTTGGTAGTCTAGAATACGAATGGGAACTGTTGTTGTTGTTGTTGTTGTAGCCGTTACTGACCCGCCTAGATAAGCTGGCCCTTCAAGCGTTGCCGCCAAGGTAAACTTAGGCCGAGGCCACGCAATGAGCGGTAAAGCGGTGAGCGGCTTAAAATTAAAACATATGATATACTATTGAAGTGGCCACGCACTGAGCGGCATTTACATGCCTCGACCTTAGGGTAGGCCCGCTGTTTAACATGGTCCGATCAAAGTAAGGGAAGTATTAATTAAGTGGATTTGAGGGGGCATGTAATTAGTGGCAACATCTAAAAAGATTTCTTTCCTCTGCGATAAATGTGTATTTTGACTCCAGGAGTTCTGATATGTCGATTTGTGTTGCAGATTACTTTAGGGCCTGTGCCAATCAGTAGAAAAGTTGTATGGTGAAAATTTGTTTGCTATTGTGAGAAAATTTTATTTTTCTGCTCTGCCAATTCGTAACTTTTTACTGCTGCAAATTTTTGACAGCTGGTCTGATGCAGAAGAAGTTGAACAATTAAAATGCAGAGATTTTAGTTGCTTTCCCCAATTTTTCTGGGTTGAAACCTGTAAAACTGTCACAAAGCAAAAGAAGCCAGAGAACCGAGTACGAGAACGCTTTCTGGTAAAATCCTGTAAATTCTTGCAACTTCTTGCAAGTAAGGGAACGTAACTTTTATAAAACAAGTAATTTTTAACCGCTTCCTGTTGACTTTTTCAACTAACTGCTCACAATCGACTAGTCGACTAACCGTTCATTCTCAGTTTTTCTACTAGTTGTTTTCTTTCAGTTGAAATTGTTTTTTATATTTTTTTAATACTTATGCTTAATAATTTTATAGCGAAAAGCCGTCACTATTCGAATAATTTCCGTTAGTCAATTTTCAGACTATACTCGATAGTGAGCGGTTGGTCGAAAGTGAATGGTTAGTCAAATTCTGGCGGTTAATCGAATAGCCGATTTTTTCAACAGGGAGCGAGAAAACTGTTTTTTGAGCAAACCTTTTATTATTGAATCATGGTTTCAGAGTTCAAGTAAAAACAAGTAATTTAAAAACAATTTTTCAAAGACCAGCTTTTATAAGTAGTTAATAAAAAAATCAACTCGGCACCATTTAACGGATACATAAATTTTTGTGGAATTATTTCTTTCCGATTAAGTAATATGCATTCTACTTAAATATGAAACTAATCCATATTTGGTCCATAAATACGGGCTTCCTAAATATCTTGACTCCTGCGCCACCTGTCGGGTAAATTTTTTTGTGTAGTTATTCCTTTTCATGTAGGTAATATATATTTCAAATATAAACCATGGAAATACCCACATGGTACATGCGAAGAAGCGGATGGCCGATTTTTACCAAGGGCTCTAATCTATATATCGAGGGCTTATATTCAAATAGAATAGTAAATTCTTCTAACAAGCGATATATGTACATATAAGGTCAACATTAACATCAGTGATGACAGTTAAGTCTCAAATAAGTACCAACATCGGAAAGTAGTTTTGTGAAAATGTGAGATAGCCCTCTGCAATAACGACACAATTCAAAATATAAAAACTCGTACTACAGTTAAGTGGCTCATGTCTCTAATCCTTACTACTTACTGTAGTAATCCTTACTATTTAGGATTATACGCGGATTAGACAAAGCTTAGAGGCATGATCCACTTAACAGTAGTAAGTTTTTATTTTTTGAATTGTGTCATTATCGCAGAGGACCATCGATATTTACATTTTCTAAGCTCTAGTGTGTTTAATTAAATTAATACATTTATGAACTTGTGCGATATTTGTATATAATAATTTATATATACATATATTATACATAATATATTATATATATTGTATATAATATATTATATATAACATATTATATACTATATGTTATTTATATTTAATTATGTAACATAATTAAGAACTTTATGATATCAACTAGCAATAGCAAACACATTTATATTATTTTCAGTGTTATACAACATTTTAATTCCAGCTATAATGTCTAAATAGCTTTCAGTGATGTAAGCAAAAATTACAAATATACATAAATAGATATAGAAATACAATTCAATATGGGTATATATTTTGAAATTAACTACATTTTCGTTATCTGACACATGCGCATTTTGTTAATACATCCATACTCATATAAGGAGCTATAACTTTGAATATTTTATATGTTCCACTAGCTAGTCTTAACTACCCAAGGGAGCCGTAGACCACACCTTATACAGGAGTGCAATTTACATATTGTTTGTTTTTGTGACACTCAGACAAGGTTGATGTGTGTAAGAAGTTACATTGTTCCCATCTATTGCGTTTGATTAGCCTTTCTTTGAGTTCTTTAATATCCATTACTTAAAACATCTTCTTTTTAACCGCTGTATAACGTTCCATATAAACCTCGTATCCTTCCAAATCGGTAAATTGTTTATTATTAAATAGGTTCCCATCGACAGATAAATTACATATTTTTGATTCTTTTAGTATACGTGGTGTAAATGCGCTAGCTTGCAAGCAGTTCTCTTCCAGCCGCAAAACTTTAAGTTTTGGACACGCTGCAATTTCTTCAGAAAGTATTGAAATTTGATTTTGATTAAGATTGAGTTCAGTCGTGTAAAGTGAGCCCACTTCCGAAGGTACGGCGGTTATTTTATTGCGTGACAAGTCTAAAACGTCCAAGTGTTTAAGTCCACACAGCATGGTGGGGAACTCCTTGATTTGATTATTGGACAGATTGACAGTTTTCAAATTATTGCAATTTGATAGAGTTTTTGGTAATCTAACAATATAGTTGTTCATCAGTAGCAACACTTCAAGTTTAGTTAGCTCGCCTATCACGTCTGGCAGCTCTACGAGCTTATTCCCGCTCAAGTTCAAGTGTTTCACCAGCGTAAAGTGACCCAGTTCGTCAGGTATGCGCTCGAATCGATTCTCGGAAAGATCTAGCAGTAATGAAGAAATTATGGTGTAGGCTACGACAAAACAAATAGTACACTTACCTAGCGTCTTGAGCACATTTGGATAGTTTTTTAGTTGCGGTGGGAACTCCTGCAAACGTTGCAGAGAAATCTTTAGAATACCAGTTTTTTGCGCCGTTTCCAGATGCTGGCGCACTTGTTTGTTACCCATTATGCCTATCGCTTAAAAAGCTCGGAATTGAAACAACTGACACTTTAATTATTTAATGATTAAAACAAAAATTACCCTCCGACGATTTGTTTGCTTCCAATTGATGAGTGATTCTTTTTGTTTTGGCCTCTGCGAACAGCTGTTGCTGACGTTTATTCGCTGTGGCTGCGGCAGAGTACCCATTACACAGGGAATTTAGGAGATGGCCAGAATGCGTTTTTGCTGAGCGCGGCATCTACATATGTCATTAAGGATTAATCAAATGAAAAGATAAGAGAATATTTTATTGAAATCCGTTACGCATTTTAAATTATTTGTATTATAAAAATTATACTGTGATGTACAGAAAAAGTTTTAGTACACTCACGTCTGATATGTTGTTGTAATTCATAGTGCAAGCTGCTCGCTTCAACCGCTAGATGTCACCGCAATATACTAGTATGGCAACGCCCGTTACTTAAAACAGCTGGTTAGCTTTCTTCTCCTTTCCTTCTTTCTGTAATTTTAGCACAGTGTTGGCATTTTATTTATTTATTGGTATATTTTGCGAAATAGGTTTGAAAATATAATTTTGACTGTGAAAATATCGAATTTAGAATGATACACAGCTTATTTATTGTAAACAACAGCGGGTGAGTGAAATATAAATCAGTATCTTATGATTTTCAAAATTTTAAGTTTCAACCCTTGGCTGAAGTATGCTTTCACTTATACCGTCTGTTAACTCCCAATGATTTATTTAAAAACTATATTAAATTCTTAAAATCTCTACATGTATGTATATTTGTAAAGTCAACCACCGCGTACAGTTTTATACAAAGTTTTCTTATTTTTTTCTCAGGGATGTATTCCTTGAAAAGCATTGGCGCTCCGTCGTTTCGCGTTCAGTTTGTGACTACTTCCTGGATGCTCAACGTAATGCCCCATTAGTAAGTATACATAAATTCAGCATTTAATAACAGCAATATTTAATAATTTATATTGCTAGGATGTTCCTCCAGTAATCGCAACACCTCACTACTACCTGATCACAGTACAACGCAATGGCATATCGTTGGTAGCTGCCTGCAAGCAAGAAGTGCCACCCCTTTTCGTTATTGAATTCCTACATCGAGTGATGGATACATTCCAAGATTATTTTGGTGACTGCTCAGAATCTGTTATCAAAGAAAATTATGTTGTCGTTTATGAGCTACTCGATGAGATGTTGGATAATGGCTTTCCGCTTGCAACCGAAAGTAACATTCTTAAAGAACTTATTAAGCCGCCAAATATATTGCGTACTATTGCCAACACCGTTACAGGGAAAAGCAAGTAAGTGGCCTTGTTCCATATGTTTTTATAAATTTTTTTATGCTAACATAAATATGTGCATTTTTTTTATGATTACCTTTCAACATTTTCAGCGTCAGCACAATCCTACCCTCTGGTCAGTTATCAGCTATACCGTGGCGTCGCAGTGGTGTGCGTTATAACAATAACGAAGCTTACTTCGATGTCATCGAAGAAGTCGACGCCATTATTGATAAATCTGGTTCAACAGTGTTTGCCGAAATACAAGGCTATGTAATTTTTTTTTTTATTTGCTTTTTCAACTTTGTTGTCAATTTGTATTCCAATTACACAGATCGACTGTTGTTGCAAACTATCAGGCATGCCAGATCTAACGCTTTCCTTTATGAATCCACGACTCTTCGATGATGTTTCATTCCACCCATGCGTACGCTTCAAACGTTGGGAAGCAGAGCGCTTACTGTCATTCATTCCACCAGATGGCAATTTCCGTCTGATGTCCTATCACATTAGTTCGCAATCTGTAGTGGCTATTCCAATTTATATAAGACACAATTTTTCTATAAAAACCGGTGAACAGGGCCGTTTGGATTTAACTGTCGGTCCACGTACCACTCTTGGCCGTACCGTCGATAAAGTCAAGCTGGAAATAACAATGCCGAAATGTGTTTTGAACTGCATTTTAACGCCTAATCAAGGCAAATACACATTTGACTCAGTCACTAAGACATTATCTTGGGATGTTGGGCGCATTGATGTTTCCAAATTGCCAAATATTAGGGGCGCCGTAAGTATTGTAATGCATTTAATGTAACTGTAATAAAGGTAATTTACTTAAATTTTTTTCTCCATTCAATACTAGGTATCTATAACGCCCGGCAGCACAAATATCGATGCCAATCCCTCCATTAACGTGCAATTTACAATCTCACAATTGGCTGTTTCTGGACTAAAAGTCAATCGTCTTGATATGTATGGTGAAAAATATAAGCCATTCAAAGGTGTCAAGTATATTACAAAGGCGGGCAAATTTCAAGTTCGCATGTGAAACAGTTCGTCATTGGTTGAATAACGCCTTTATTAATTTAGTCTTAAAGACGCTGTACTGCAATTTATTAATGTAATCTTAGTAGCATATTTTTGCATTTCAGTTTATTTTAAAAATATATTTATGCTAATTAATTTAAGCGTACTCTATCGAATTTGGTGAATTACTAGGCACGTATGAATAATAAGAATATACCGTGAATTTAAATTACGATATTTGTGCAAACTTGCTGTTGGCGCCAACATCTTGTCCATTCAAATAATTCAAATACAGCAATCACAGATTACAGTTTTTTTTTTATTCCATCGAGAAAATAGCAAGGCAAATCTTTCAATGCTTAATAATTTTTGCTCTTAAAGAAACTATTGCCAACTTTTGAGTATGGAATGATAATTTATTAAAAATTCATATTATTAAACTTGCCTTAATACTTTTGTAAATGAATGAAGCCACAAGTTGGCATTTATGTAGCTGCAAACCACAATTATTATATTAGGTTTCAATGCATTGGTGTTGAATATGAGCATATTGCGGTTAGACCACCCGTGCTTTATTAGCATACTATTTACATAATGCGTTACAAGTCTTCGTACACATTGTCGGGGACACAAACCGCAATTGATGGCTTCTTTGTTCGCTTTTGTGGTAGTTGAAATCCCTTGCAATAGAAAAAGTATTTAACTTTCCTAAAAGAACTGAAAAGCTGAAATTGAAGATCAATTTTATAAAATAAATTTAATCGATGAATTTTCCTTAGTCTATACTACGTTACTTAATTCAAAGATTAAAAATGAAGCTGCTCAAAACATATGCATGTTTGTATGTATATGAGATATTAATGGCGAATACCAAGATCATGCAACAACTAGGTTCAAGGCATTCTATTCAGATATAAATTAGTCTATTCTCAACAGGTATTCTGCAAATATGTGCTATTATCCAAAGAAACAAAATCATAAATGCTGATGTTTTTACCATCTAATTACATTTGCTCTAAAGTATCGTATGAAATAAATTTGTTTGTGCCTGACTCGCACATGCGTATACTCCATCAAATATTGGACCGTGTGCATAAAACATAAGCAAATGCTTTTTCTTAAAATGGCAGACCTTTTACTCGATTTTTTCAAATAAATTTAAGAGAAAGGTTTGAAATTTTAAGTAAAAGCAATTGCTTAATTTTTATGCATACGGCCCATTGAAACAGGTTTCAGACAGTGTTAGTGACACATATGTATGTACGTACGTATATTTGCGCATATACATATGTATGTATGGGCATATACACATCCAGACCCATGCACATTTGTATAATAAGCAAAATGCATCATTGTAGGATATACTGCACTGCAACTTTTGGCGTTGCCTTTGCTACTCTTCAAGTCTGCAGTTGCAAAGCAAATCAATAGGAATTTGTGAGTTGTTAAAAATGCAAAACTTGATTTCATGCGTACACACAGATAAACACACGCACATACATGCTTAAAAGCTAAAACTCAGCAGGTTGCAGCTATAGCGATGAGTTAGCAACAGGCAACTGGCGGTAGCCACGTCCATGGCTGCTGCATTTGGAATAGTTGCACTGGTGGTAGCAGCATTTTTGCAATTTAACTCTTTAGCGTTCAGCTAACGTCGTGATTGCCATCGTTGCAGTGCGCTCCCTACTAACTTAAATACATACACATACATACATATATGTGTACCGATGCTTGGCTGGGATTCCGGCGAAAAAAACCAGTTCTTGGCTAAACATTAATAAATGCGATATTTTTATAGATATATTTTTTACCTTTTTCAATGGTAATTTAATGTTTTCTTTTGTGGAATAGATAAAGTACAACCGACTTCAATCCGTTAACGTATTCATAATATTTAGAAATCAAACAAATCCATTATTTTGTCAATGTTTAAATTATCAGAACTAGAACAATTTCTAATAGAACCAACTTTGAGACCACACCTTTGCAATAAAAATCATTTAAATATGTTTACGTAGCCAAAAGTTATCGGAGAATATACGAATCTTTCGAAAATTTATGAATAATTAGAGAAAAGTAAGTATGTTAAACTTTTGTACCTTTACCAAATATTTTATCTTTTGGAAGGGTAACATTTAAGCTTTCTTTTTATTCTGTTCAAAAAAGATAACATTGCATCGTTATTATACTACAAAAGTTCAAAAAATGTGAAAAACTATATATGTACTTGTACTAGGGCTAGAAGACACTCATTTCACAATTACTTGTTTGACTGTCTGGCGCGCCTTGGCGTAGTAGACCCTTACGAATTCTCGCGGTTTATTAATATAACCAATTTGTTTTATTTTTATGTGAGCGGGCGGCAACGAAGTGACAAAAATTTCCTTTGGGTCTAAGCGTGCCTTATCTGTATGCAGACAACCACTTCAATCCAACCAAAATTGTCCGACTATTTCGGTTGATTATCCTTACAATTTTACAGTTGTACTGGATGGAATTGTTGATAGCCGTACGAATTAAATTATACTTAAAATTTAATCAAATATGTGATCCTAAAAAAATAATAATTTTCTTAATTTAATGAGATTTTAATTTATTTTTTCCATGACGTCGGCGACTCCTAAGCCACTTATTGTTGTTTTTTTTTCTCTTTCAAAACCGATATCAAAATATCAGTGGCCTGCTTATTAATCAATTGGTTTTTTACCTCTAAAAATATCTACTTTTGATATTTTAAACACACGCATAAAGTCGGGTGCATTAAAAAATGTAGAAGACTCCATTATAGATACATATTTATTTAATTTCGTTTATATTGCATTTTGACCCGCTTGTCCAACGTACTCGTCATTTTATTTAAAACCTGTGTGTGTATGTATGTATAAATACGCACGTGTATTTAAGGTGTAGGCATGTCAACTTTTCTTCCATATCTTCGCTTATAGCAATTAATTTGCATGACTTGCATTTTTCTCTTATCTCACTTAATTCCATTCTTCTTTTGTTTACTTTTTACATTATTTTATTTAATATTCTTAACGTCGCGTTATTAATAATTTTTTCTTTGGTTAAATTATCTGTTTGGAAAATAAATGGAAAACGAAAAATATTTCCAAACAAAACGAAAGACTTAAGCCACGAACTCGTGTTGGTATAACTAATTATTACGAAGCATTCGCGTCACTTTGTTGGTACAAAAAACGATTTATGACGCGTTTTGCCAGCAAGCGTTAATAAATTAATCACAACGCAACTATTTCCGGTGTGAAGGGAGGAGATCTGAAAATAAATTAAGCTTCAATCAATTTTAAGCCTAAATTTTTGCATTCAGCGTCGCTCTACTTGCGGTTAAAGCTTTTGTGCTGATTCAGAGTGACACACTTACACGTGCATATGGGACATTGCGGTTTTTGATTGGTGCGTACATCGGAATGAATCATCGTTTTGCTGATGCTTGAAACTTGTGAAACTATGAGATTTAGCCAAATTCTATCGGCCTGTCTTATTTAAAAAAACACAATTTTGCAATGGATTGCCATGTGATTTCCAATATTTAAAAGAAAAAATCTAAGCTTATATTCGATCTTATATGGGGTGCCAAATACAACAAAATCAAATTCTAATAGCCAATGATGGTATCAAACGAGAGAATTGCAAATGAAAATTAATAAGTAAAATAAATCAGCCAAATTAAATAAAATTAACCTATAGTGACTCAAATAAGTGACCACGTGTTAACTTTTTTTTTAATATTCATAATAAATTCCGAGTTAAATTTTTGTTGTTGTTTTTTATATAAATATTGTCCAAGCTTAAACCATATAAAAAACAGTTTCAAACTCGTTAAAAACTTTAAGAAAATTCAACAAATTTTCATTCATTTCAATTTCAACTTTTAAATCTGAGTCTTTAGAACAGTTTGGGTATGCAGTTTTATAGCCCATACAATTTCAGTCCAATGAAGTAATTTTTGAGAATTTTGTTTAGTGACGGATTTTCGCACTTTTTTCATATAAGCATACATTTCTTATGAGCGAGAGACTGTTCGCAACAAAATTAAAAAAAAAAAAAACAGCGCAAGTTTTTGTAATTTGCACTTGTTATATACATTAAAATAAAAGCAGTCTCAAAAAAAAATCGCAAAAAACAACGCGATTGTTTAATTTTTTATCCGGTTGAAACTTGCACTTCATCAGACTAAAATTGTATGGGCTATAAAACTGCATACCCAAGAATATTCTAAAGATTCAGACTAAAAAGTTTCGGTGAAAATTTGTTGAATTTTCCTAAATTTTGCATAAAAGTTGATTACAACTCGTATAACGATATACGACTTGGTGTGAGGTGCTGCCAAACTCAATTATTGCACTATTGTGAGTGATCGTGGAAAGAAATTAGAAAATTTCCAATAAGCGTTAAAAAAAATAAATTTAAATTCGCCTTGTCATGGAAGCTAGTGAAATTTTTGACAAATACATAGAAAATTTTGACAACCGCAAATATTGTTGATGTGTATAATTTTTCTGTCCCAAATCTAAGCAAAAACAACAAATTGTTATAAAATGGAGTTTCTGGTGGCAAAATTAAGAAGTATTACACTATATTACAAATTTCTTGTGAATAAATTTCTTACATGTTTCAAAAGCTTTAATTGATTAAAATTAAATTGATTAAAAGCTTAAATTGACTAATTGATGAATTGCAATCAATGATGGTAGATGTTTTTTTTAGGTTTCCATGTATTTACTATAGGCGGATGAAAAATATGTGGGCGATTTTATTCGGACGAAACTCAGGCTACTTATAATTTATAAATTCACATTGTCGGGAAATTTTTTAAAATTTATTTTGTTTACGAAAATTTGTTACAAAAATGAGCTTGATTTTTTTACGTTTTGTCAATTAATGACGCTTTTCACAAGTGGTGCCACAAAGTAGTTAGCCGAGTTGGAGCTTCTTTTGCAATTCGCTTACAAAAGATGAAGGCTAAACTTTGAAACTGTGATCTACATATATGGTTTTGGTTAATGCTTGGACGGTAGTTAGTATATATAGATAACAAAAAAAATGTAGCTCTAAAAACATTTCGAATATTTTAAAACAAAAACACGCGGCGACTTGTCTGAGTCACTGTATGTATGTAACTCAATCGCCGA